GCTAACTCCCTAGGGTGTGTGCAAAATCATATTAAAATTGGAGGATTCAGGGCTGTTTGGGCTAGTGTATGTAGGCCTACTGGTGATGCTGGTACCGGTAGGCCTAATTGGTTGTCTCTATCTTACACCCGTAAACAGGACCCAACGAATACTCCTCCGTTGTATACTGTTGTCCCGATTCACAGGGATTTCTTTCGAAAAATTTCTCCAGGATATCCGGGGACAGCACAGTTCAACATCCACTTGATTTTATGAGCTGAAATTGCACTGGTGTGGTATGTTCACTACTTACGGTGTAAACTATCCGCTAGGTTACTAATTGTAGAAAATTCACCTTTTCCTCGTTTGAGGGAAAAAAATTGTTGCCTTTTTTTGCCCTTTTCCCACTCCAGACAAATTTTGCCCCACTTGCACAAAACTGACGGCTGTTTCGTCACTTACATGTCACGTCACAGAGAGCGAGCCGCGCTACGAATGATTTGCTGCAAACAGTGCGTGACTGGACCGGGAACCAGCCAAGGGCATTGCGTATTAGTTGCGACACAAAGCAGCCGTAGTTTTCCACGAGTACTTAGATCGACAGGTACTCTTGCAGATCTGAACGAGATTCATAGGTGTTGAAGTCTGGGTGCAAACTAGACAGGCTTTTGTACAGGGTACCATTACTTAACCATACAAAGGAGTCTGTGTAATGTACAAGTCAGTACAAATTTTGTACGGAGTGGGAAAACAGCAAAAAAAAGGCAACATTTTTTCCTCCAAACGAGGAAAAGGCAAGTTTTCTACATTTAGCAACCAAGCAGATAGTTTACACCGTAAGTAGTGAACATACCGGTGCAATTTCAGCTCATAAAATCAAGCGGATGTTTAGTTATGCCCCCAGATATCCCAGATAAAACTTTTCAAAAGAAATCCCTATGAATCGGGACAAGGCCCGGTATATGACTGAGGAGTATTTGTCGGGCCCTGTTTAGGGGGGGATTCTATCTCTATCTTTGTTTACATCTCCTGTGGCTTACACAGCATGTGCAGGGTCATGCTAGGCCTGTTTAGGATTTTAGCATCAGCAAGTGTCAGTCAGTGTCAATGATTGTCAACAAAGCATGAACAAATATTTCAAGCACATTTATGCAATTTTTTTGAAAGTACTGTAGTGGATTGAAAGTTTTGACCCAAACAGTTGAGAATGTTTAGTTAGAATTTATAATTGTGTACACATTCATACATGTAGGTGCATGTGTGCTCAGGCATATGTAAATGAATATGTAAAAGTACTTGAGGACTACACAAACAAGATGTCTCCTTCTTTGGGCGGGAGCAGTTGAGCTGCGTGTGGCTGCGCGTATTAAAGAACACTGAAAAGTAATATTCATTGGAGGTTCGATCTCAGAAAGGATTTGTTAGAGATGTTTTTGAAAAAGGAATGTTTTCGGGAGTTGGAGAATGGACGGGGAAGAGTTAATACCAAAAGGGAAACGAGTGTATTGGTACAGCAGAAGTGAGGGAATTAAATAGGCTGATTAGGCCTTATTTGCAACTTGTAAGACGATGTAGTTGTCAGCTTGTGTTATCTTGAACCACAATCTGGAACCCACCTCACTTCCACACAGAGACTTCAAGTCGTTCCTCTACAACGAATTTGACACACTGCCATATTTTGATCACTTTATGGACCGACATCACTATGTTACAATATTAATTAGGCTCCTACATATCTTTTTCAATGTATCATATCTACACATGTATATGTACATGTAGGACTATCTGCAATGATATTTGAGTGTTGACATTTGAATAACAAAGTCGGGCCTGCTTGTGC